ATAATCATCAAACGAGAGTTGGTGCCTTTTACCAACCCGAAACTCGAGACCAAAATTTTGGGGTTTTTTTTTTTTTTTTTTTTGGTTCAAAAGGCGGTGACATACATATCATTTGATGATGTTAATGATTTGCGCATTATAAAAAAAAAGCCAAGAACTTTTTCTTTTTTTTCCGTTTGACTACAATCATCATCACATTATACAATGAATCCACAGCATCGAACAGAATCAAAAAAAAAAATCTTTTCCGTCAGGAGAAAGAGAGAATTCCTGAAACAACAATAACATCATCCAGGGAACCAATATCAACATCACCCAATTGCAAACAATGAATATAGAAATTAATTTTTTCCAAATGAAAATAGGAAAAAGAAAAGAACTGGGTATATAGTCACGTGTATAGTTTTTTGTCGACCAGTTTTGCGAGTTTTTTTTTCTTCTTCTTCTTCCAATGTGAATATTGTTGTTTTATTTTTCTTCTTTGGTTTTTCGGTTTCAAATTCTGTTCATGCATCAATTCATTTCAGTAGTATGGGTTCAATAAGAAATTTGGATTTGAAAAAGAAGAATTCCTATCCAATTCAAATCGACAGAATTTGAAATGAATCTTGATTCTTTTTTGAAAGTTTTCCAAAATTTTCATTGTTCAATTTTTGTTATCTCATTTTTTTCGATCAAATTTTTGTTTGTTTATTTCGGTGCGCAGACATTATATCGACGGGTTCCTTCCATCCGTCCAACACATCACATCACATCACATCACATCCATCCAACCATTCAATCACCTTTCCATCATCATCATTTATTTATTCATTCATTCATTTTGATACAATACCCGAATAAAAAAAAAGTGATGATTACCCCAGAAAAAAAACAGTCTATATAATCGACCACACAAACAAACAAACAAACAATCAAAGAGACATTTTTCTTTTTTCTTCTGGTTTGACAATAATACATCTTTTGCAAATGTTCTTCATGATTGATATTATCATCGTTTGAATGGTGTTAATGTGTGGTGTGAATGAATAAATTCATTATTGTTGTTGTTGTTGATGGACAAAATACGTGCAATGAATTCCACAAGATATGAAAGAATTTCAACAAAAATGTTGAAATTTTTAAATTTTTAAATGGAAGAATTTTGATTTCATTTTTCATTTGATATTTGGATTTCAATTTTGAACGATGGCTGGATCATCATCATCAATGACATCGACTGTTTCGACGATGCCGAAAAAATTTCCTATCAATCCATCCATGTTTTTATCAATAATAATCATTACGATTAATCATCTTCATTATGTTAATTGTTTATTACCAAATGTTGTCAAAATAGGTGGCCTATTTGAAAATGGTGATGAATTAGTTGAAATGGCATTTCGTGATGCAATAATACGAATAAATTCTGATGAAACATTATTACCACAAACACGTATTGAACCAATTATTGAACGTTTAGAACCCTGTGATAGTTTTCAAGCTTCCAAACGTGGTAAGAATTTTGTTTGTTTGTTTGTTTCTTTTTGAAATCTGAAAACAGAAAAACAAAAAATTAAATTTTTCTTTTTATTTTTCAAAACAAAAACTTATCTTTTAGTTTGTAGCCTATTAAGGCAAGGTGTTGCAACAATATTTGGACCACAATCAGTTGAAACAACCGCTCATGTACAATCAACATGCGATGTATTACATATGCCACATATGGAAACAACACAATGGAATTTTAAATTTGATGATCCACCATTTCATCATTCGGTTAATCTTTATCCACATCCAATCGGTTTGGGTAATGCATTTCGTGATTTAATAACATTAAAAAATTGGAAAAGTTTTGCCATTCTTTATGAAGAAAATGAAGCATTAGTACGAATGCAAGAAATATTAAAAGATCCATCATTAAATGAAAAACGTATTGTCGTCAGGCAATTTCCATCGGATGAATATCGTACAACATTTAAAGAATTACATAAACTAGCCATACGTAATATAATTGTTGATGTACCACATGAACATATATTAACTGTATTAAAACATGCTCAACAAGTTGATATGTTATCAGCTTATCATAATTATTTTTTCATATCATTAGATGTACATACTGTTGATTTAGAAGAATTTCAATATAGTGGCCTAAATATATCAGGTTTTAGTTTAGTTGATTTATCATCAAAAGAGGTAACACAAATTGTTCATAAATTTCAACAATCTCAACAACAACAATCACAAATACAAGATGGTATTATTGGTACTGATGATTCAAATACACGTTATCATTGGAATCCAATGGATACAAATTCAAATAATAATATGATGATGTCAAATGTTGGACATAATCATCATAATCATCAAACAGTTGTTGATAATACAATTTTTCGAATGGTATCATCGAATAATTTTACTGTAAGTTTTTTTGGACAAAATTGATGATGATTCGAAATTATCATTCATTCGAATAATTCGATTCTATATCTACCCAATCTGATCAAATTCGATCAATATAGACGGAAGTTGCTCTTGTTTATGATGCTGTTCGATTATTTGCTCAAACATTATATGAAATTGATAAAAATGGACAACATTTTCAACAACCAGATGATATTTCATGTGAAAATGAAAAAATCTGGAAATTCGGTACGGTTATGTCGAATTATATGCGTAATGTATGTGTTTTGTTTGTTTGAAATCTTTTCTTTTGCATAAAATTAAAGTTGAACTTTGATTTTTTTCAATTCTCCCCCTCGAAAGATCCAAATGGACGGTATAACTGGACCGATAAAATTTGATTCAACTGGATCTCGTTCAGAATTTAAGCTACAATTATTAGAATTAACTAGAGAAGGTTTAAAACATGTTGGTGATTGGCAACCAGATGAAAAAATTACCTTTATGAGTAATTATACAAAAGCAATGACTGAAATTTATCGTGAATCATTAAGGAATAAGACATTGACTATTGTTACTATTGCGGTATGTTTTTAAGTTTGATTTTGTAAGAATCTTTTAATCTTGAAATTTGTTTATTTTCAAAACAGGGTGAACCATATTGTATGGAAGTGGATGATTCCGAAAACCGTACCGGTAATGATCGTTTTGAAGGTTATTCAGTTGATTTGATTAAAGAAATTGCCGATTTATTGGAATTTAAATATCAAATAAAATTAGTTGAAGATGGTGTTTATGGTAAACGTAATGAAAGAGGTGAATGGAATGGTATGATTAAGGAATTAATTGAAGGTGTAAGTTTTTTCATGTTTTTGTTTACCTGGAAATCTTTCATAATTTTCTTTCGATTGAAATCTTTTTTGCAGAAAGCAGATATGGCTATTGCCGATCTAACAATCACATATGAACGAGAAGCTGCTGTTGATTTTACAATGCCATTCATGTCACTTGGTATCGGTATCCTATATAAACGACAGAAAAAAGAACCACCAACATTATTTTCATTTATGTCACCATTAGCTATGGATGTTTGGGTTTATTTGATGACATCATTTCTTGGTGTAACATTATTTTTATTTTTTGTTGCACGTTTTTCACCATATGAATGGGTTAATCCACATCCATGTAACAAAGATCCTGTTGAATTGAAAAATAATTTTTCAATGAAAAATACACTTTGGTTTACAATTGGTTGTCTGATGCAACAAGGATGCGATATTATGCCACGTTCATTATCAACACGTGTTTTGGCTGCAAGTTGGTGGTTTTTCATTCTAATACTTGTTTCATCATATACTGCTAATTTAGCTGCCTTTTTAACTGTCGAACGTATGGTTAATCCAATCGAATCGGCTGAAGATTTATCAAAACAAACAAAAATTCCATATGGTTGCCTTAAATCCGGTTCAACTGAAGCATTTTTTCGTAGTTCAAATTTTTCTACTTATGCACGAATGTGGTCATTTATGGAATCATATCGGCCATCAGTATTTGTTGAATCAAATAAAAAAGGTGTTGATCGTGTTGAAAAAGGAAACTATGCTTTCCTGATGGAATCAACAACAATTGAATATATTGTTGAACGTAAATGTGATCTATTTCAGGTTGGTTCATTATTAGATTCAAAAGGTTATGGTATTGCAACACCACCTGATTCACCATATCGTTCAATTGTATCGGATGCTATTCTAAAACTTCAAGAAGAAGGAAAATTGCTGATGTTGAAAAATCGTTGGTGGTCAGGCAAAGGAAAATGTGGTGGTCAAAAAGAAACGCAAAAAGTTTCCGTTTCTGCGTCGGAATTAGGCTTGGCTAATGTTGGTGGTGTATTTGTTGTTTTGGCTGCCGGTTCTATTATTGCCATTATTATTTGTATTGGTGAATTTATCTGGAAAATGGGAAATATTCCACGTTCAGAAAGGGTAAGTTTTTTTGGTTTTTCCGAAAAACTTTTTTTCATTTCAAATGATTTTTTCTTTCTACAGGAACATATCGGTATTGAATTATTACGTGAAATAAAATATGTTATATGTTGTTATGGTAATACCAGACCAATACGTAAAGTTTATGATTGGGATCCATCACGTAGTTTAATTATTGAACCAACATTAATTGGTGGTGTACATAATATTGCAGGTAGCGGTGGTTCAGGTGGTGTTAATAATCTTGGTATTTCACATCCAGGCCTACAACAACAACGACAATATAGTTATCCAGTTGGTGGTGGTGGTGATGATGAAAAAAATGATTATCATCTTTTTGGAACAAAATGACAATCCTAGCTGCTGAGAAAACAAACCAAAATTTTAGAAACTCAAATTTCTTCCCTTTCTCTCTTTCTAACATACCATGTCTCTATGCACATAACATCATGACAAGTTACAAAAAGAAAACCACTTTAGAATCAAATTCAAAACTCAAACAAACATTGAAAAAAAGGCCTTGGAAATTTCAAATTTTATCATCATTAATAGTGAAAAAAAACGCCATTCTCTCTTAATAGTCCAGTCTATAGTTTGTAATTAGTTTTTTTTTCTGTAGAATTATTTAATTAATCATTTTGTTATTTATTTCATTTACCATTTCATCTTTTTTGTTGTTGTTGTTCAATAAGTTCATAATGTTGATTGAATAAAATCGGAAAATTGACAAAAAACATTCGAAATGACGAAAAACGTTCGATTTTTTTTGGGGTATAGGGTGTTTTTTTCCACAGCATCAAAATTTTGGCAAAATTTCATCATTTGATGATGATCATTTGGTGATTGTTGATTATTTGATGGTAGTGATTGTTGGTTAGTGGTTTGTAAAAAATAAATCCCGAAAATGTTTGTAAAAATTTCATTTTTACTAATATCGATTATTATAATCGAACCGGTAATTTCTGTGTCACGTTATTCACGAATGGATTTTCAACCATTAATAATTCGAAGACGATTAATATGGCGTAAACAAATTCAATTTGAAGATCCAAACAATTGGCAACCAAATCAACCATCGTGTGAAAAAGATCGGGTGGTTTTACCGGAAAATTATGTTATCTTTTTAAATCGACGATTATTAATTCAAGAACTTGTAATTTTAATGATTTTTGTAAAATTCTTGATTTTTTTAAAATTTCTTTTTTATTTTCAAAGATTCTGCCGGAAAATGGTGAATTAATCATTGCCAAAGATGGTGGTGGTATTGTTGAATTTTCTACCGATCATGATTATGATCAGGATGAAGATCGTAAATGTAAAACAACCGAAACACTGTATTTTCAACCATCCCAAGAATATCAGCAAACAAATTCATGGTTTAATCCGGATAATTGGCATGTTACATTTGATTTATCATCATCATCATCATCATCATCGTCGATGTCGACAATGTCCGGTTATCAGATATCAACATTTGCAACATTTCATTATCAACAATCATCATCATCATCAAAAATGATAATACCCGATTCGGAACGTATACCATGTCGATCGGATTTCATAACATTTCCAACAAATGGTACATGGAAAGTTAAAATAGGATCGAATAGTAAATTAATACCCACATTCGAATCAATGACGATTGGTGAAAATTTTCAAATATTCAATACGGATAAATTAAGAAAATTTTTACAATCATTTTCTGGACAAATGTTGTTTGAAATTCAAGGTTATAATCATATGGAAATTCAACAATCAAATTGTCAATCAAATTCAATCGAATGTTATTGTGGTAATGATCAACCAAAAGTAATGAAAGAAATATGTCAAAATCGTCCAAAATGTCCACCATCGAAATGTTTGGATCCAATACAGGCACCGGGATTTTGTTGTCCAATTTGTGCAACAAGTATATTGATTCGAATGAATAAAAATCGAAAAAATTTGAATCAACCGCAATCGCAATCGCAACAACAACAATTTGTTTATCAATCGATTGCTCAACATTTAGAACGACTATATCAACAGCAACAAGAATCATCGAAGATATTCTTGTCGAATATTAATCTTTACATACATTGGCTATATGATAATCGAATTCAAATCATAATATCACCAATGGTGGATATCCTGATTCGAAAACAATCAAATCCATTAATCCAATCAGATCAAAATGGTCGACAAATTATGGAAAAATTATCCATGGATAAAACATTATCCCGATTGATATCGATTGAATATCGATCAAGTCAAAATTGGATACAAGATTCTAGTCTATTCAATCGATCAACATTTATTCTATTATTGATCTTTATATTGATTTTATTGATTGGTTTTTTTACTACGGTTATTTATAATTATCATCATCATCATCATCATCATAATGATCATCAATCATCATTTACATTTGTTCGATTTCGAACGGTTGCCAGTGATGTTGAAATGGAATTTGATAATCCTGGACTTTCGGATTGTCCATCTGGATCATCATCATTACACCGACTACCACAACAATCACCATTATTTTCAACCGAGAAAATCGTTCCAAATTTTCAAAATTTAATGAAAAAAATGACAAATTGGACAACAACAATACGACAACAACAACAACCATCATCAATACGTTTACGTTCACAATTCTCACGTAATGATGATAATCACGATGATAATGATGGTGATGATGATCGAAAACATCAAACAGAATTTGAGAATCCAATATTTAAACTTAATACAGATTCTACTATTTCTACTTCTTCTACTTCAACGAATATCTCTCATCATCAAATCAACGACAGTACATCAATGTAAACGAAATGAGAATTACAGCATCAGCAGAAACAAAAATTAATCCTATAACAAGGTAAGCGAAAGAAAATACAGAATTACAGAATTATCTTGGATATTTTCTATTTTCTCTCCCAAAAACAGAATCGAAACGGAAAAACATACACACACACAAAATTCAAGGCTTTTTATTCGGAATGTATAGAGAGAAAGATGAAATTAAGCAAAACTTTCATTCAGATAAAATTTTTATATAGAGTGCAACGACGACGAATAAATTTTTCATCATCATCATCATCATCAAACATTTTTTTTCTTCGTTTGGAGTATCACCATGCAGAAAATCATTAAAGCTTGTAATTCGAATTCGAAAAATTGTTATGAATGAATGAAAAACCGTGCCACCATCACCACTACTATCAATGTTACTAATCTGTTCAAGGTTTTTTTCTTCATTCGAGAATTTGACAAAAAAAAAATTCTATACAAGTTTGTTTGGTGAAATTCTGTTGAGCAAAATCCCTCCGAATAATGTCAACAAATTTTTTTTCTTGGGTTTCGATGAATGAAACTCTGAAAAACTATATATTTTTCTTCGATTCGATTCGATGTGTGTAAAAAGTAGTAGTAAAAATCAATCGCAAAATTGGGTCAAATTTCTTTTCTTTTCTTCATCATCATCTTGTTCAAGATTCGATCCCATCGGATCGTAAAATTAATTAAAATTATTATTATTTATTTTATTTTGTAAAACAAGAAAACTGAAAAAACAAACAAAAAAATTTTTTTTATAGCTTTTCCAAAAATAAAATCAAAAATCAAAAAAAAAATGTTAGTTTTTCGAAAAACTATTTCAACCAAACAATACTTTCAAGGTCTAAATGGTGGGGAAATTTTTTTTTTTTTGACGATTCGAACGCGGAACGAGTTCAATTCGTTCGAATCAAAACTGAAAAATTCATTCAGAAAAATCCCCCCCGAAAAACCTGAAATTCTTTTTTTTTCTGGCTAATTTTTAAAATCTATTTTTAGACAGAATTTTGGTGTGTGTTTGTAGTTCATTTGAAGAAAAAAAAACATATGTCATAATCGATTTTTATGACGACAAATCGATGATGACCGAAATTTCGAAAAATTCAGAAATCATCATCATGAAAATCAAGAAAATTTTCAATTAATTTTTATTACTGCTTCTGTTTGTTGTTGCTGTTTGTGTGTTCCAATTCCACTTCCATCATCATCATCATCATCATAATATTCTGTTTATGGCTGTTGAACATCCAAAAAAAAAATAAAAACCAAAACAAACAAATCAAATCAAATGTGCGATTGCGTTCCCATATTGGCTACTATATTTTTTCCCATTATTATTAACCGAACCGAACCAGGAATTATAATAATGTTCAACGAAAGAAGAAAATGATGAAGGAAGGAATTATGTTCCACGAATAAAAAATAATGAATGGTGGTGGTGGTGGTCTTTAATGATGTTGAGATTCGATTCGATTTTGAATTCAACAAATTCTCTCTCTATTCATTTCCATCATCATCATCATCACACACATCGTCGTCGTCGTCGATGGCTCAGATCTTCTATATGGGCAGTATACAGCAAGAAATAGGCAAAAAAAACAAACAAACAAAAACCAACCATATCAGAATCACGAAAAACGTAAAGTATAGCAGGAAGGAGAGAAGAAGAAGCAGAAAGAATAGCAGTGATACCGAATATTCTTCGTTTTTTCTCTTGGTCATCATCATCATCATCATCATCATTAAACACGGAGAGAAAAAAAAGAATAAACATCACAACAACAACAACAACAAATCAAGAAAATCTGAATTTTTTTTTCATCCAATTTGGTGATTTTGTAATCGATGATGATTGGCTTATGATCAACCAACAACAACAACAACAACAACAATGGTCAATCAATCGATCAATCATGGATTTTTCAAAATTCAAGAATTCAAAAATTCAATGTTCAAGAATGTTTCTTCTTCATTTCAAATCGATCAATTTTTTTCTCTCTTTCTCTTCAATTGACTGACTGAAATATTGATTTTTTTCACGTTTTTTCGGTTTTTCAACGACGACAACGAATTGATTTTTATTGAAAAAGTTTTTTGTTTCAATTAACGAAAAAAATATGGCATCACATTGTTTTGTTTGTCAATTACCAATTCTATCACATCAAACATGGGATACATGGACATGTGGCCCAGGTATTGGTCCTACACAATCAATATTTACCGATATATTTCATGAAGATTGTTTACATTGTTCAGTTTGTATGACAAGATTAAAACAAGGAAACGGTTCGGCAAAACGTGTTGGTAATAAAATTTATTGTGTTTTACATTTTGGTGATGTTACCGGATCGTTTAGTTCACCCGGTGAAGATTATATAAATAAATTAAGAGATTTTAAACGACAAAGTCTTGGTTGTGCTGAAGCAAGACGTAAATCATCAACAACATTATCGTTTGCCGTACCAGTACAAGCATGTCCCGGTCAACCATATTGTTCAAAATTTCCACATGATATTAAACCGACAACTGGTTATTGGATTGAATGTCGTGGTGGTGCTTCACCTGTAAATATTAATGAAATTGCATCCGCTGTATCGGATTCACAATTACAACAAAAACAAAAATTTCAACAACAAAATCGTCCAGCAACATTTGATGCAACTGGAACTAATAATAATGATCCAAATAATAATAATGAAACAGTAACAACAATACATCTTACAAATGAATTGAATTTATTTCAAACTGGTGGTGGTGGTGGATCATCCACACAATCAATGATGATGATGAAACCACCACCAACACCAACTGTTGAAGCCGTTTTAACACGTGGAAGATTAGAACGACAAGATACAATAAAATCTGATTATAATAATGATGATAATAATAATGATGATGGTGGTGGTAATTATGATTTGGATGATGGACGACCAATATCAAAAGATGATTTAGATTTAATGATGGTACGTAAACCATCATTAATGAGTCAACATCAAATATTTCCAAATATAACGATAACAATTGTACAACCATCATCACCACCACCATTATCACCACCATTGAATGATAAAAATAAACATCAACAACATCAACATCAACACCATCAACATCAACAACAATCAACATCATCAATAAAATCATCATCACATCATCATCATCATCATCAATATTCTGTAAAATATAAATCATCATCCGGTGGTGTTAGTAGTAGTGGTGGTGGTGATTGTGTTGATAGTGGTTGTTGTGTTACATCAACAGTCAAAACATCATCAACAAGTCCAGTAAAACAGCCACAATCACCTGGATTTTCATCGATAAAATCTTTGATTATGAATGATGATCCATTTGAATTAATATCATTTGAAGAAGAGATATATGAAAAATATTTTTATGGCCGTGAACATTGGAATTATTTTACAAATGATGAACAATTAGGTCCAGTTATAATGAGCTTAAAACAAGAAACAATTGGTGGTCGTGATCAATTTCGTGTTTTGTTACGAACCATTTCTTATTCATTACATGGATTGGTACCAACATCAGCAATTTGTGCTGATCGTTATGATCGTGAAGCTGTTGTACGAGCACTTGGTGATGAAGCTGGTTTGAAACCGCCATTAGTATTGGGACAATTACCAAGTACACCAGATGAATTGCTCAAATTGGATCAAGTTTTTGTTAAATCTGAACTTAAAGTTGGTGTTATTTATATTCAAGAACATCAATGTAATTCTGAAGAGGCAATTCTTGGTAATCGTCGTGAATCAAGATTATTTTCAGAATTTCTTTCCATTTTGGGTGATCATATTAAACTAAAAGGTTTTGATAAATATAAAGGTGGTCTTGATACAGGTAAATATATCAGCCAATCAATCAATCAAATAAATTCAATTAATTTTTTAACCCTTAATTAGTACATGATCTAACCGGAACTGAATCTGTTTATACATGTTATAAAAATATTGAAATAATGTTTCATGTATCAACAATGTTACCACATGAAGATGGTGATCCACAAAAATTACAGAAAAAACGTCATATTGGTAATGATATTGTTTGCGTAGCGTTTTTGGAAGCAGATGATGCACTGTTTTGGCCTGGTTGTATAAAATCACATTTTCTTCATACATTTATTGTTGTAAAAACAACACCCAGAGAATTGTTACCCGATGAAACACGTAAATATACTGTTGCTGTTGTTTGTCGTGATGAAGTATCAGCATTTAAACCATATTTATGGCATCAATCAGAATTTGAAAAAGTAAATTTTTAAAAATTCAAATTTTTTTCTTTGGTAAACTTATTTCGATTCATTCACAGGGATCACATTTTCGTGAATGGCTTTTGACGAAAATTATCAATGGTGAACGTGCCAGTTATTCATCACCAAAATTTGCTAGGATGCAGGTAATTCTAATTAGTTTAGATTAAGATTCAGTTTCCTATAAAAATGTCTTTTTTTAAAAAAAAGGATCGTACACGTTCACAAATGATGGAAGATATTGTTAATAATCTGGCTAATCATTTGGCCACTGGTCAGATACCAAAACCATATCGTCGTGGTAGTTGGCGTCCAATTGGTCATATGCGTCCATCAAGTCCATTATTAGATTCTGTTCGTGATCTATTTGAAGGTTATGATCAAATTGCTAAAGATTTTGCCAATGCATTTCATGGTAATGCCAAATTATTATGTGATGTTGTTTTCAATGTTATTGGTTCGGCTAATGGTCAACCAATCAATAATAATAATAATAATGGTGGTGGTACAACATCGACAGCAATGTCAATAATTGGACATCCTCATCATCATCATCATCATCATATCGATGGTATCAATTCAAATGTTTCAGGTATCGGTAGTGGTGGTGGTGGTGGTGGCACTAGTGGTGTTCGTCGAATTTATGCTGTACGTGCTATACTTGCTATACGTTCACGGGTATTTCTTGAAATGCTTTATGGATTTGCACCACCCGGACAATCTGGACAATTATTATCACAACAACATCAACAACAAGCAATCGATATGAATTGTACATCAACGACAACAAGTGGAAAAGAATCTCGTCGTAATTCATCGGGAAAATCATCAAGTTCATCATCAAAACGTAGTAGTATAACTGCGGAAACAAAAAATATGATCGCACAATTACCGAAAATTATCGCACCATCAAAAGATAAAGATAAAGATTCGAAAGAAAAAGATTCAAGAAAAGCTTCAACTGTTTCGACTATATCGGCAAATGCATATTCAACAGCATCAAATTCATCAAATTATTCATCAATGTCAACATCGACACAGATAAAAACACCAACTTATCTACAAGTACCTGGATCAAGTGGAAGCAGTGGTAATGTTTTTAAAAATGCATTTAATCGTTTGGTATCTGGATCATGGTCAGGTTGGGGATCAAAAGGTGGCCGTAATGAATCAATGAAACGTTGGCAAAGTGAATCATTTTATGCTAAAATGGATCAAAATGTTGGTGTTGAAGTACCTGGGATTTCAATGTGTGCTGATGTAGCAAAAATTGATCCAAATAAATTAGCACAAACTGAGGTACGGAGATTTGGATTTTGTTGATTTTGATTTTTAATTGGAAAAAATCTCCCTTTTATTTAGTTTACCATAATCGAATTTGATGGCGATACATTTCAATTACTGATTGAATATCTACATTCAGGATCATGTCCATTAACATGTGATACTGTACCGGGTTTAATTTGTGCTGCTGAACATTTTGATCTGCCCGATCTATTACAAGCATGTGTTCATCATACAAAAACACATCTACGTTTAGCATTAGTACCAAGAATGTTATGTCAATTAGAAAATTATTATTGGCGTTATACATCAGCATCACAATTGGTCAATACAATATTAACCTATGTTGATCCAAGAGCTTCCAAATTATTTCAACGTCTTGAATATCTAATGTTATCCGAATCAATGTTGACAACAATTTTATCACGACGAACATTATTAATAACTGAAACATTAAAATTTCAGGTTATGTTACAATGGTCATTATTTAAAGTAACAAAAGGTCATTATATTGGTTTAGAACGACCGGCTACATTAACCCCAAGTGAATCACAAGAATTACAATTAATTATGAATCGTTTAACAAGAGATTTGAAATTGGCAAAAATTCCAGCACAAGATCTTATTAAGGTTTGTTTTTTTTCTCAAATTAATTCAAATTAATTAATCAATCATTTTTTCTCTTTTTAATTACAGATTGTTTTACCATCAAAAACAATCAATAATGATCGTATATTGAATACATTATTACAACAAGCTAGTCAAGGTTTACGATAAATCAAAATCAACAACATCAAGATGTTTATTTTTAATCAAAAATCATCATTATTATTTTAAACTATAGAAAAATTATACAGCAATAATTTTATTATTATCATCAACGACAGCAGATTGATTCAATTATCGAATCCATCATCCATCATTATTTGATCAAAACAAAAACAAAAATCATCATCAGAGCTATTGATGTCATATCGATATTTCCATTATCCGGATCATCTAAAAACGTTGTACGTCCATCAAAATCGCCATCAAATTGAATTCAAGCCGCCATACTGTGAACATTGGAAAATTTCTATTTAAAAAAAAAAAAACAGAAAAAAATGAAACGAGCTTTGAATTATTTTCTGCACAACAAAGAAAAAACAACAAAAATTCTTGTATTTTTTTCTCAAGTTTTTTTCATCATCATCATCATCATCATATGATGATGATCTCTTTCGATTTTCTCTTCCTTAATATTTTTTTTTTCTCAATATCCTCAAACTTAAAAATTAACTTAATCTCCCTTTTTGTTGCTGATGTGTCCCCAATAACATACAAATTTTACCTAGATATCGATAGAAAACATATCTCTTGTTGGCCTTGGATTATTCATCAATTCAAGTTACACACACCATTATACTACTATCCACCCAACATTTACCCTTTTTTAAAACCAAATTTGCTTAACGAAAAAAAAATTTTTCTGAATCCGAACCATTCGAAAAAAAATCCTATCATCATTATCATCATCATCATTCACCCAAAATGAATCATATCAATTTTATTGAAAAGAAAAGAAATCCTGTAAATAACTTTTTATTTGTTCTTTCTCTGTGCTAAATCTGTTTTTATTTTTATTTTTTGTTTTCTTTTCTCTCCGACTCTATCCATTTTTTCACTTTTTTTTCGACTAACAAAAACAAAAAAAAATTCTGTGATTATCTCCCTCTCTTTTCCAAAATGAATTTTTTTCTTTTCTGTTGTTCCAGCCAATATTTTTCCAAGGAAAAAAAGCCCACAAAAATCAAATATAAAAAAAATAAAAAATATTTGTCAAGCCAAATTGTTTGGTGTAGCCAAATTTTGAAAATGAAAACTTTTTTTAAAAAAACAAAATTTGGTTGTTCTTTACCAGGCTTGTTTTTTGATTTAGGAGAATTGTATCAGCGTATTATGATGATTTTCTTTATGGGAAACAATGATACGCTTTCTTTGATTCTCCAATTCGAGAAAATTTTTTTTTTACAGAAAATAAACACTTACATTGAATGCAGAATAGGAATTGATTCGTTTTTTCGAAAACGAAAAAAACAAACCAAATTCCGAATGAAAATGTTCAGAAAAAAATTGATATATTCCATTGGTTTGGATCATTTTTTTCTTTCTTTATTTCTGCTTTGAATCCTTGTTCATGGTAAATATCTTGCATAATCAGCAAACAATGTTGATTTACGTATAGATGTATCCCAAAATTTTTGTACCGATTGAAACCATTGATATTCAGAATGATAATTAATCGATGCACATGATTGTTCTAGATTTACTAATGAACGTGAATTTGGTGGCCGCAATACTTTATTAATTAATCGTTGTTCATCATTATGTATAAAATCCATTTGAACATTAGGCCCAAGGATTGTTTCAATAAAACGTCGAAATTTTGTTTCAAAATTCATTGCCATTGTATACGATGATGATGATGATCGTCGTTGTTGTTCCAAATCATTATTGGTTGTTGATTTACTTGTTGTTGTACGAAAATATATTATTAAATTTGTTTTAGCCATTAATGCATCACCAACCATCATTAATGATGTGGCTAATAATTTAAAAAGATTAACATCCAAACAAAATGAATCCATTACGATTATCAAATGATCCGATATTGATAATAAAAATGTTAACATTTGTAATGAATAAATGAATGCAAAATTTTCTGTTTCACCAATATCAAAACCAACTACTTGTGAAAATATTGGTGTTGACATTTGATTTGAATTATAAAAATGTTTTGTTCCGGTCGATGTTGATGATGATCCACTATTTGAATTCATCGCTGATGTTGAATTATGATGATTATTTTGGCTACCACCACCACCAGCACCAGTAGCAATGGCACCTGATGAACCAAATTTTTCCGTATTAATTCGTATAAGATTTTCCAATACAGAAGCACTTAATAATGGCTAATTTTTTTTGTTGGAAAGAAAATTATCAAATCAAAAATCATTCAAATTAAAAATAAAACCAAACCTGTGTATCCAATAGAAATAAACGTTCACATGTAATATGCATATCAATACCATTTGTTACATGATTTAATGGTGTTTCACGATTTTTTTCCGACATCATTTTCCTTGTTTCAAATACATTAAATTGTGCTAATGAATTTAATAATGATGATTTTCCAACACCATCTAAACCAACAGCAGCTACAATTGAAAAACTTTGACCACAACCACCAATGTTAGCACCACCACCACCACCAAATATTCCTTGCTTTGACGATGATGATGATGGACCATTATTCGAAGTTGTTGACAATGTCGTCGGATTAAGATCAGGCAATAGCCATGATGATGTATCCGATGATTGTTGTTGAATAAAATTAAATTCAAAATCAATAATTTTCATATATTTTGGTTTGTTAACGGCAGTTGTCGTTTCCGATTGAACGACGTTATTATTAATTCTTAATGTTTGAATTTGCTTGACAAAATTTTTGTCCAAAATCGATGGTCTTGGTTTAACAACAACTGAAACATTGTTCGGTGTTGAATTTCGATCTGTATCCTGATCATGTTGTTGACTTGAAGTTGCATCATTTGACGATGATGATGGAAGTTTATTCGATTTGGCTAAAATTTTTACTGCAGGTATTGCTGTTGTTTCATTATCTTTGGTTTGTTCAGAATTTGTTTTATGATACCAATTTCTTGAACGATGATTATCCTGATTATTACGTATTCGTTGTTGTTGATGATGATAATGATGTTGATGATTTGATGAATTGGAAAAATTTTGCCGTTGTTTTATTCGTCGATATGACGATGATGATTGTTTTGGATTAGTTTCGGAATCCATTTTTGATAATTTGATGTGAAAATCACAATGAATATTCGATAAACATCATCATCATTTTGATTGTCCGAATAATTTTATTTCCGGATAAAGACTCAAAGATTTTTGGGAAAAAAGAAATAGAAAGATATTACACGTGAGTTTTTGTATTGGAACAAAACGAAAAAACGAAACATTCAATGATAAACTCATGGAAAAGAACACAACAACAGAAAAAATTCTGGACCCAAGATGAATGCCATCTATCGTTGTTGGATGCAAGTTGACATTTCATCATTGATAATGGTACCGTTCAAATATAATGTTTTTCGATTTTCTGAATGTTCTTGTTGACCACGTATGATCATCGAGGTGATTTGACGTTGGCAAAAAATTTTTTTAAATCAATTTTAATTTTTTTAAAATCTTAAACAAACGACAAACAATGAATCCAAAAAATCGTGGAATAAATGATGATTTTTGGTCGCCGCAACCGCCATCATCATCGATTCCACCATCATCATATGATTTTGGACAATTTAATTATTCATCGGATTTTGATTCATCATCGATGGCTCAATCGAATCAATATTTTAATCCAGCAATGAATCAAACAACAACAACAACAACAACATTTACACCAAATTATGATTATAATATTGGTACAGGTGGTACGGATAAACTTGCTGATCCTTATGCTGATGAACCACCATTATTAGAAGAATTGGGTATAAATTTCGAACATATCGTACAGAAAACATTGGCCGTTTTGAATCCGTTCATACAAACTGATCCATCAATTCTGATGGATGCTGATTTAGCTGGTCCACTTGTTTTTGGTCTTTTATTCGGTAGTTTTCTTTTGTTAAGTGGAAAAATTCATTTCAGTTATATTTATGGTTTTGGTGTTTTTGGTTGTATATTAATCTATTCATTATTAATGTTAATGTCACCACCAAATATAACAATAACAGCTGTTTGTACTGTTTCCATACTTGGATATTGTCTTTTACCAATGGTATTTCTTTCTGCATTATCAATATTTTTCGGTCTGCAAACATTACTGGGTAATATTATTACCGGTACGGTTATACTTTGGTGTTCATTATCGGCATCAAAATTATTTGTCACTGCTTTGGCAATGACAAATCAACAGGCATTAGTTGCATATCCATGCATACTATTTTATGGTGTTTTTGCATTGTTAACACTTTTTTAAACAACAAAATGTTTGTAAATAAAATTTAAAAAAAAAAATGATAAAAATCTTTCTCAAAATTTTATAACCGATGACCGGTTTTTTTATTTTTATTAAAATTGTCAGAAAAAAAACATGAAATTGGCACTGTATACAATATTGGGTTGTTGAGTATAATCAAAATAATAAAAATAAAAAATCCTGTTTTTTTTTATTATCAAAATGTTTGAATCACCGTTGAATTTATCTAATATTTTCTTGCCGGTATTGATCAAGATTTTAAATTATGATTGTGGTTGTATTGTTGTTGTTGTCGTTGATGTTGATGTTGATAATAAATGATAAGTGAATCAATAATTTGTTGCTGTACATTTAATGATTCAAGATGTTGTAGATAAGATTGAACTAAATGTGAAAATGACCAAACAATTTTTTTCTTCTTATCATTATTTTCATCATCATCGGTACAATCACCATCGTTGCCGTTAACCATATTGTTCGATGTTTGTTGTTGATGTTGATCTTGATTTTCAAGCCATATTTTTAATATTCTATCATTATCATCATCATCATCTTGTTGTTGTTGTTGTTGAACAATATCATCGTGATGGACATTATTATTATCATTGATTGTCATCATTGATTTGATTCGGTTAAACAATTGTTCCGATGACCATTGATCAAGATGATGATGATGATGATGATGGTTAATAGTGATTTTATCGAATGATGAACAATAACGTTGTATTAGACGATTGATAAACATCGAACATCGTTGTTGTATTGCTACACATAAATTATATGCTGCATTCATTTGTCCATTCAATTGTAATAACCGTTCATGTTTTTTCATTTCATCTTGTTTATCATCATCATCATCATCATTATTATTATGATCACTATCAATATTTTTGATTTGTTGTTGTATGGAAAATATCAATCGAATAATTCGTACCATATCAATGCATAAAATATCCATTTTATTTGATAAATTTGAATCCAAATCCATCAATATTTGACGAATAAATTGGCCAATTCTTTTTTCAAATATTAATAAATCTTTTCCGATACGATTTGATTCCATTCGTAATAAATTCAAACGTGAAAGTAGACGATTTTTATGTCTACGTATCTGATCAATGTGTAATAATTCTTCATTGATTTTTATTTCCTCATCATCATCATCATCTCGTGAACAACAATCGGTTGTCATTATCGATAACATTCGTTCACCACAATCATCATCATCCTCATCATCATCATCAATATTGGTTTCATTCAAATTGAATACAACAATCAACATTGGTATTAATTGACTAAAATCTAATGATGGCCAAAATTGTTTTAAATCTAAACCTAATCGTTTGAATAATGAATACAATGATGATAATAACGATTGATTACGGTTATTATTATTATCATCAGCATCATCGTTTTTATTATGACAACCATTATTTGTGAATGATGGTGGTGGTGGAAGGGGAAAATCATTGGATGATGATGATGATGGAAAATATTTGGTTGGTGATTGTTGTTGCTGTGTTTTATGATTTATTATTGATGGAAATTTTTGCTGCTGCTCAACATTGTTAGAATCGATTTCAGCCTTGATTTCCTAGATAATTTTATTGAATTGAAAAAAAGATTTTCCATTAAATAAACACAAAAAAAAATTTATTGACTTAATAATAATATTTTACCTTGAATTTGATTATATTATTATTATCTTGATTTTTATTATTATTATTGTTGACATATGATGTAGATGTTTGCATTTCATTTAATAAAGATGATGATGATAATGATGAACAGGATGATAATTGATACTGTGAATTTTTAATAATACAATTTTCACCTGTTTCTTCTTCATCATTTTCTTGTTGTTTATTATTGATTCGATTTTTTTTCTTTTCTTTTTGTCGTAAATAAAATTCATAAACAGCACGTTTCTGTATTTCTTTAATATTTTTGGTATTTGTTGTTGTTTGATATGATTTTGGTGGCAATATTGGCGGCAGTGGATGATGAGGAGAAGAAAGAGAATTTGTCAAAATTGTTTGAGATCCAGAATTCATTTGCGACGGTGATAATGATGATTTAGTCAATGAATTTGTTGTTTCTTGTCGAACCACCTGTTGAATACGATGACTATGAACAATTTGTGCTGGAATTGTCGAAGATGACGACGACGATGATGATGATGATGTTATTGATGAATATTGATGATTTTTCGATGACTGTGGTGATGATAAGCTCAATTCTATTTGATTATCATATGGATTTTCTTCCAATCGTAATTGTTGTTGTTGCTGTTGTTTTTTACGTCTCATTTTTGGATACAAATCATATGACCAATGTTGTATATAATCATTTGATTTGAAATTTGTTTTCATTTTGATTGATTGTTGATCACAGTGTTGATTAATTACAGGCAATTGGCAGTGAATGGAACGTTTTTCAATATTTAAATGATTTTCGGGTAAACTTGAATAACGAATCGGTGGTGTTGGTGGTGGTGATTCTACAGCAGCTGCTGTTGCTTCCTGAATTCGTATTGGAGTTTCGGGTGAACATGATGATGAAGATGATGATGATGGCAATGAAGATGAACTATGATTATGATGATCATCATTTATCGAATGATTCAATGAAGAATAATTTGTTGGAGAATCAAAGCTATATAAAAGAATAAATTATATTTTTGGAATAAAAATAGGCAAAAAATTTTCAATTTTACCTTTTATGACTTAGATTAGAATCAATTGAATCAGATTTTGAATGATCATCGTTAATAATCATCATTTGATTTCCTATATTTCGATGATTATCATTAGATCTATTATTCAACAATATACCATATCCACCAGAAGTTGATATCATATTTATCATTGATGAATGATGATGATGATGATTTTGTTGTTGTTGTTGAGAAATTGTTGTTGTTGATCCACGTGCTACACTAACCAATGTTGATGATGATGATTCATAACCAGAATCTTTAGTTAATTTACGTGCAGGATCAGGAAATATATGATGATGATGATGATGATGATGATTGTTATGTTTATGATGATAATGATTTGATGATTGGCTTCTATTTTGTACATTTTCATAAATACGTGATTGATTCAAATTATTATTATTATTATTATTCGATTTCAATGATGATTCGGACATCATTAATATATCATCTGAAGATCGATGACATGGCTGTGAATAATCTATTGATGTATTATTCGTAGTAACTGTAGCATAACAAGATGAATATCTTTGTGTTTGCTTTGAACATTCTGAATTAATAATCGTTTGTTGTTGTTGTTGTTGTTGTTCACCATTATTATTATTATTATTATTGTTACCAAACAATAATATCGATACGCTTGAACGTCGTTTATTTTTCCAATTTGAAGATGATCGAACCGTCGATGGCAAATGATTTTGTTGATATTTATGATTTGGTGAATATTTTGGTTGTTTTTCCATTAATGAAATTGAATTTAATTCATTATTAACAACTGTTGTTGTTGGTTCACAATATTCGTTGGCAATTTTCATTGTTGTTTCATGTAGTGATGATGATGATTGAAATTCCTTATTTATCAACATCATTTCATTCGATGTTTGCTGCTGCTGTGGTGATGGTTTTATAGAAGTCCAACTATCATTACCAATCTTGGATTTCATCGATGACGATGATGATGTTATGGCCTGTTTCGTAAGCAATTGTCTTGGTTTAGTTGGATTATCTATGTCATGTCATAAAGAAAAAACAAATGAAAAAGACCAAAAAGAAAATCCAATTAATATAATAAATGTGAGTGTAATGTCAAAGATATTCATCATTATTTTAGTCACATCTTTACAACAACATCAACGATATTTTAGTAAAAAAAAACATACTTAAATGAATGGCAGTGAAACCGTAAATGGCATCTTCTTCATCAACATGTATAACCATAGCCGACGATGATGTTGATGACAATGTTTTCGATCCATTATGGTGACCATCACTATCATTATTATCATCATCATCATCACTATTATTATTATCATTAAACGTAGGTGTAGTATTAGTATTATTAACATTAACATTTTCATCAGTGATGATGACACCATTCATCAACATTCGACAATGTTTATTATTCTTATTATTATGTTCTGATGTTTTTAACAATGTTTTTTTCGCTGTTGCCGTTGTCATAGATGATGTTGATGGTGAACATTTATTATTATTAAACAGGCTAAAACTTGCCGATGGTGGCCTACATAAAATGAAATGAAATGGAAAAAGAAAAAGATTGCCATTTATATAAACACATAAATCATCATATTTGCACAAAATATATAATGTTTTCATTTTTCAATATATATAACATACCTTGATGATTTATCTTTATTTTTTCTATTCAAATTTGATTTGATTAATGAACGACGAAAATTTGTTACACGTTCAAATAGGCTTGATATCGATGTTGATGAATTTGTTTGTTGCTGTACATGTGATGATTGGCAAGGTAATGATGATAATATTGTCGTTGGAGATGATAATTGATCAATATCATCACCATCATCATCGTCGATATCATCAAGATTGGTCATTGTCAATGTTGCCGATGCGGATATGGATGCTCCAGATGTAGATGCGGATGATGATGATGATGATGGAATAATTTGATGATTCGATATAGCCATCGTTGCCATCTTGTTCAATTAATCAATTAGATTCTATTTGAAAAAAATATTCGAATCAAAAAGAATTTACGTAATTGAACCTGTTTCAAGAATATTTACGGAAATTTAAAGCAAAGATCACAAAACACAACAACATAAGTAATAATTAGCTCGAATAATAAATTCAAAATTTTTGCTCCCGATTTATTTCGGTCCAAATCAGAACAACAAGAAAAAATACAATGGTGAAATGATTGTTGTTTGTTTGTTTAGTTTGGTCAACTACAACAACAACAAGACAGAAAAAACATCATCATAATGATGATTTAAACAACAAAATGAGTTATTGTTGTTTGAAAATGTTTCATTCATTCATTCATTCATTCAATCATTTCATTTTGTTTCGTTCGTGTTTTTCTTTTTTCTGTGAATTTTTCATTGTTTATTTGTTGTTTTTTTGCTGTCATGTTATTTTATTCGAATGAAAACAAAACAAAAACAAAAAAAAACAAAGGCTAACTGCTGTGTAAAAAAGATCTAAATTTAATTTTTTTTTCTGTTTTCTCATCTCATTTTATTCAATTCACACACACAATTATAGTAATTTTACTGATATATAAGCCGCATGTACAATGTATAAGCCGCATCAAGAAAGGATTAATCAAAATTTTCAAAAAAAAAATTCACTATGGAAAATGTCATAATCATCAACCTAACCTCACTGAACTATGAATTACAGTCATATAGTCATCAACCTAACCTCACTGCAGTATGAATCACAGTCATATGGTCATCAACCTAACCTAACCTAACCTCACTGCTGTATGAATCACAGTCATTAACCTAACCTCACTCAACTATGAAAAATGTCAAAAAATTTATTTATTTATTTTTTTATTTCACTGATAATTTATTTAGCCTAATAAACATTGATCAATTCATCATTATCATCATCATCATCATACAATCTATCACCGAAAAAACACCGGAAGAATGTTAAACACAATTTAAAAAATGTTTTTTTTTCAGTGGAAAACGAAAGCAAAAAATTTCCATCCTGGATCGATAAGGAAAATCACACATACGGAACAATAACAACAACAAAACAGGGGAAAAAAACAACAGAAAAAAAAACAATTGGCCTATGCGAACATACACGAGCTTTTCGGCTTAATGAGCTTAATGATAATGATGATGATGATGATAATTTTGAAAAAACAAAAAACAAGAAATACATACATCTTTTTTATCCCCTCACCTCCATTTTAGATGATGATGATGAATTATAAACGATTTGAACAGGTTTTTGTTTTAAAAAGAAAACAAAACGAAAACAAAATTCATTGTTATTTTTCATAAAATGTTGTTGTTGATCATTGTTGATTGTCGTCGTTGGATAGATTTTTTGGATTTCACTGAACGAAAAACATTGTTGTTTTTTTTCTGTTGATCTGATTTTCAGAAATTCAAAGATTTTGTTTTTTTTTGAATACAATCGATGAAAATTTAGTCGATGATGATGATGATCAATAATGAGATTTTCTGTTTCAAAGATTTGACTAACCATTACCATTATCCTCATTATCATTTTCAATGATTATGGATTTGGATCGAGATCAGTAATCAGGTGATTTAATCGAATTTGAATAAATTTTCTTTTTTTAAAGAAAATTCAATTTCAGTTTCAGTTTTTGTATTCAAATTTGATTTTAATGATGCCGGGTTGATTTGCTCCGGAAAATTGATCTATTTAAATTCATTTTATTCAGTCACAATAAGATCAATTGATCGATCGATTCATTGATTTGTATATCAACAACGATGATAATTGTCGCCACTAAATGAATGTTTCGAACGTTTTTCAAAACGTTCGAAACCGTTTCGACTATTTCAACCGATTTTGGATAGCTCAAAATCCTATCTATTTCTACCCAGCGTTTAAGTTTTTTCTTTGTTCTTTTCAAAAAAGTAAAATTTCAAATTAAATTACAACAACAACAGCAGCAAAAAAAAACTTTCGCTAAATTTATATTTATAGAAACCATCATTTGAAATCATTATCATAATGATGATGATGATCAGGTAAACGAAAGAAAGAAAGAAAAACGACAACAACAAAAAACGAAAAAACAGGACTTGATGATGATGATTTGAATGAATTTGAAAATGGAAAAAATAATAACAAATTTAAATTCAATTTCAATTTCCAAATCATCACCCTTTTGATTCATTTTGATTTATGATGACATGATGATGATGATTATGAAATGATGGCAACTTCTGTCAACTTTTTTGATTTTATTGGATATTTTGAATGGAACATTATCATCATGTGCGTAACATCATTTATGAAAAGAAGATTCGAATCTTTTTTTTTTGTGTTCGATCGAACATTATCAAAAAAAAATCGAATGTTTTTTTTTGTTGCTTTGTTGATTTCATCATCATCATTATCGATCCGATTTTATCGATCGATCGATCGATTAAATCGATTCTATTATTAGTAAAATAAATAAAATCTTTGATCATTATCGTTATCATCATGAATTTGATCTAGATTTTCTATCAATCAATCAATCAATCAATCAACTGAAGAGAAATTTGAAATGTCTTTTGGATCAATATGGAACATTTTATTTTCCCAAAAAACAATTTCTTCTGTCCTGAAATAATAATGTAAATAAATTCAATCCTTTCATAATTGAAAATGAATTTTGATTCAAGGTTTTTTATTTTCAAAAATTTCGAAACAAACGACAACAGGTAGCATTGATTCAATCAAATCAAATCAAATCAAATCAAACAAGGTAATTTCATTTTTTTTTAATCAAATAAAATAATAATAATAAAACATTACTTACCATCAACGTCATCAAACAGACAAATTGTCACAATCACATCAAGTAAAATGTCATGAAAATGGTCTTCAAATCATGTTTCAATGAAAAAAAATTGATTTTTTTGTACACAATTACCATTACATTACATCACAAATAAATATCGATTATCATCAGAAGAAATTGATTGATTTTATTGATCAAATGCACGAACACAGACAAACGTTATCTATAATCGATCATCATCATAATAATCACAATAAAACATCATTTCGACATTGGTCAACAGACAAAAAATGTCAATCAGACATTTTTATTCGTGAATGATGTAGAAGAAATGGACGAATAGAAAAAAAAAATTTGACAATCGATGATCGATTCGAATCTTTGGCAAAAAAAATGAATTCGAATGTTTTTTTTTTTTTTGATGAAAAAAATTCACATTTGATTTTCTACCTGTTTGGATTTCAAAAAGGTCAATTTTTTCGGTCGAAAAAAGATTATTGGTTGAGTTCAATGGATTATTATTCCGATGATGATGATGATGATTACCGTGAATCTTCAACAACAACAACAAAAAACGGATAATTTTCGAAATGGTCACCCGAAAAAAAATCCTACACCATTGTTATTATCAGATGATAATGATATTCATCGATGATGATGGGTTTCGTTCTGGTCAACCAAAACAACAACAACAACCGTTGATCAAACCAAATTCCAAGATGAGCATCGAAAACAACAATACAACAACAAAAAAAAATCGAATGTTTTTCGAGAAATGTGATTCGAAAACCAAAATAAAAAGAAGATTATTTGGTTGGTTTGTTTCAATCACAACAACAACAACAGCAAAACAGGCCAACAATCGACGACGACAACAACAACTGAAAAAAAAAATATTTTCGATTCGTAAAAAAAAGCTTTTTTTCAACTTTAACTTCAACTTCGACACACACAGACACAGGTTTCTCTCTGTGTTCTCGCAAAACAACAACGAAATCCAAACGAAATTCCTTGTTGAAATACAGAAAGCAACAGCAGCCAGCCAGCCAGCCGAATGAAAAACAAGATAAAGAAGCTTCAAGTTCTCTCTGTTTCTCTTCATTCATTTACTTCTTCTTTCGTTTTTTATTTCCACCAAATTTTTTTTCTGTTCATGGATGAATTGAATTGTGAACCAAGTGTGTTTTTTCGTGAAATTTTGACCACCACCATGGTCTTTTTTTGTTTGTTTGTTTGTTTGTTTGCCATATGAGAATTCATTCATTCCAAATTTTTTTTTTTTTTGGAATGAATGAATGAAGAGAGAGAAAATCTTTCTGTTTTCTTTTTTGGAGAAAAACCCGGCTTCAACAATGGAACAACAATTAATTATTGTTTAGTAGTAGTAGTGGTTAGTAGTAACAGGTAGTAACCACCATCACCACTTTGATTGGAATTTTGGATTGATTAAATGAAAAATTCAAGATTAATTCCAATTAAATTTAGTTAAATTTAACTACATTATCATCATCATCATCGTTGAAAAGTGATCATATACCACCATTGCATCACCGCCATAGCAACTAACAAACTACCTGAACTTTTACCTGATCTGTTGACCTTTTTTTTTGTTTGCTGATGTTTGGCCTAGGCCAAGCAAGTAGACAAAAAAAAATTCTTGTTCGTTTGTTTGTGGTATGAAGCCAGAAAAAAATGTTTTTTTTTTGATTTAATATTTTTTTTATTAGTTTTCATTTTGTAGAAGTGGCCAGAAAGAAAAACATCATTTGATTTTTTTTTGTTGATGTTTTGACTGACTGACTGACTGAATGCCATAAGTAATGACCTGAAACTTCTTGTTGGCCGTCGTCGATCGTCGACTATGGATTCGACATCAACAACAAGTGGTGGTAATGGTAATGGCAGAGGGATAAGCTCAAAAGATGATAATAATAATGATGGCCGAAGAGAAGTATAAGAAAAAAAACTTGTTTATTATTATTATTTAGCATCAATTTTTTGTTTTCTTGGTTAAGGTTCATGATATTTTTGTTTTTTTTTCTTTGAATATAAAAAAAACATGTTTTCGAGCTTCCTCACGAATTTTTCTCGGTTTTTTTATTCATTTCATTCAGTTTGAATAATGAGACCAAGGAAAACAAGAACAAGAAATGAAATGAATGGAAAAAAAATTTTTCGGAAAATTTTCCAGAATTTTTCCAGAAAACAAAAAACAAAATTCTTTTCTCGGTTAGAATCAGAAGCCACCGGGATGATGATCTTTGAGAAAAAAAAATCTCAAAGATCATCATCATCATCATGGTTCATTGATTTCTTTAAATTGTTTTTTCTATTATCACCATCATCATCAGCAACAGAATTTTTTATTTTTTCTTAAAATTACGTCTGGCTGTAAGAAGGTTAAAGGTCATTATCATCATCATCATCATCATTGAATGAAATTTTTCTC